TTGAACTATTATATATATTTATTTAAATAAATTATAATTTCAGAAATGATAATTGCGTGCCGATATGGTTGTATATATATATTTCCTATAAAACAAGAAAAGTTTTGGCTTATAGAAATCGACGCTGTAAACAGTGCGCAAATATTTTAGTAAATAATATTTAATATTAAACTATTTAAGGTATTTTTTCAAAAATATTTAACAATTCGTCATCATAAAAAAAATACGTTTCTGTTAATTTATTAACCATCTTCAACAGAAACCAAAGCTCAAAATTTTAATTCAAATTCATCAGTTTATCTTATTTTTTTATAAGTAAATATAATTTTGATTAACTATGTAACATTAAGTATGATTTTACATTAGTAAATTAGCTAAGCAAAATATTCCAATTGTTTTGAAAATTTTTTTCTCTTCTCTCTCTCTCTCTCTCTCTCTCTCTCTTTTTCTTCATTTACATATTAGAACATAATTTATACTCACTTGCCAATGTAGCAAGGGCGACTTTGCCTATTAAGGCAGTACTGTATGAAATTATAACTCGCTTCGCAGAAGAGGCCATCGCTAATTGAAGCACAGCCAAAGCGACCAGAATCCCCAAAAGGGCAGAAGCGGCAGCGGCAGCTAATCCCGCCACCCACACAGCCACTGGAAATAAAGGAAAAATCTCGTCGTAATTCTACTGCATTGTAATGTAATCCTGCATTGCTTAGAGCTTTCTATAGCCGTAGGAATTTTTGGCGCTGCGTAATTACACAACTCGCTTTTTTTCATATGCAACATTTTTTGCGATTGAAGAAATGATAAAAGAATAGAATAAAGAGAATAATTTATCATAGGATTTTCATTAATTTTAACAACTCACACAATGTATAAATTTTTCGTGAATTTTATTAAAAAACTAAATAAAGCTATGGTATTGATCAGAAATATATAACATAAATAGTCGTTATGCAATATTTAAAATCGTTTAATACTAAAATTGTAACTGATTCAACACATTTAATACATTTAACTTTTAATTAAAAATCGTAATATTTCATGGCTTTATTTAAACAATTTAAATTTACGTAGGAAAAATTGAAAAATATACAAAAAAATACGCTCATCTAAATAATTGACCATACCGAGCATTAATCAATTTATCTTTCTTGTTAATTTTCTAGAAATGAATGTTTATAAGAATCGACATTATTCAAGATCTCATACGTAACTATTGTTTTCAAACTATAATATAAAACAGCCAATTACAATCAAAGTAGGATGTTTCAAATATTACATTATTATGTATTTATTAAATAAATTTATTTCAGACATAACTGCGCGTCGATAACTTTCGAACTTTCAATCAATCTGAAATATTAATAATCCCCCCTTAAATTAAATTAGAAAATATAAGGAACTTATTGCGAAAAATATTACCTCAGCCAAGAACTTGAGACTTTCCGGGGCGGGTATCTTAACCATCTCGACCACTGAGGCTTCGGAAATATTCCTCGCAATAACTGATATGTATAGAGAGATAAATGGTAGAGAGAACGCTTTACGGTAATTATTGTTTTACTATTACTATCAAAATCAGAATTAAGCTATAAAGATTTCGTAGAAAAATGATATCGTTCTGGCGAAAAGTGGCATTATAAAAATATCATCAATTTTTATATAGTCACACATAAAATAAAACTTACACACTGGTTGGAACCTGGAGACGCTTTGGCCGCACCACTCACGTCCATAAAGAAGGAGTTTACATTGTCTCCATGGTCCGAAGTAACCCTTCTCCGCGGCAGTACCAGCTGTAACAATATAAATAGGAAAAATTGGATATAAAAATTTTATTTTTTTCTCTTGCGGAAAACACGGTAAAAACCAGTATAAATTCATTTGTAATTTTATCGAAACAAGCTGACCATCGATAAAATAGTATGACCTACATCAAGTAATTCTAGAATGTATAATTTAGTACGTCAATTTTATTCAACGCTATTTGAATTGTAAATTATAGAGAAATTAGAATGATAAATTAATATATAATCATTCTACATAAAAATAAAAAAAATATAAAAAGTGAACTAAAATAATAAATAATAATACATATACACTTTTTTACTAACAAAAGTTACGAAGCAAAGTATTTTTTTAAGAATTATATTTTTTTATTTTCTGAGAGATACATACGTTAAAAATTAAAGAAATGTAAAACAATATCATTTTTTACGTTAGGTAATTGTAAACATTCTTTTAAATATATTTTTATAAACGCTAGAATCAGTATCAAATCAAATAAATACAACACTGCTAAAAAACAGTTCTAACAGAAGAACAGTTACAATTATTACTATAAATTACAATTATTTTCAAATAAATCGATTAACTTATTCTTTATTTCAATTTTTAACAGAAAAATATAAACTAGGATATTTCATTAACGATTTATAAACAATAATAAATAAAACGTTTATAAAATGATTAATTATAATGCTATGAATGTTTCTCAGTTTTCTCTTTACGTGCAAGTTTCATGGCAACAAGGAATCGACTGGCACAGTGGCACCGGTGTTTAATGTTTGTCTTTTGTAACGTATACAACATTACTGTATTGTATACATATGCTGACCTTACTTGCCATCGGCGCAAAACGAGATACGATTGAGTCGGGCAGGCAGCGGCACGTGAGTTGCATTATAATTATTTCTCAAAACGCGCTCGCGATAAATAACGAAACATGTCAACGACATTTTGCGTTAATGAATATTAACGACTTGAATAATATATGGAACCAATACAGTTAATTATTCATATATAAATATCATATTTTAAACAAACGTGACAATTTAAAAGGTCTGAGTATACAATAAAGGATATAAATTATTAACTGCGATACAAGCAGTATTACAAATAATACTGTTCAACAAAAAACTTTCTTTCTAGACACAAACGCGATCAAGTAATACTTATAGATTTTTGGTCGTTGAAAACGATTCCGATATAAAACTATAAAAATATAATTATTACTAATATATATAATATAATGAAGCTCGAAAGAATCTATCAGTAAAAAATGTAAAAAAGCCCCTCAGAGCCTACATCAGCTATTCGGATGCACAGAAATTCTTTAGTTTTCGTGTGAATATAATAAAACAAATAAAATATACGTTTCAACTCTTCAATTCAAGTCCTTATCAATATAAAATATAAATCGAAATTACATAAATAACGCAAATTCCAAATTGATGATTCCCGACAATTTAGGGAATCAGGATATATATCATACTGATAAGTTTAAAATTATTTTTTATTTTGACTTGAAATAAATTTTTTATTCTTTGAAATATTTAAAAAATATTTCGATATCTATTCGATAAATATTTGCGTCCCATCTCACGAAGGATGTGTTTTTTGGAGATAATTTTCCAGTGGTTAGGATGGCGTGGACGCTCGTGGAAGCGACAGCCTCAGTAATTATTTGATGGTATATCTAGCGACGCATCCAAAAGTCACTTAATGCACCTTGAAAGGTTTGCCGTACGTTTTCAAGCAGAAAGGATATTAATGCGAATCGCTGTTGTGACAACATTTTATTCTCCGCAACTAGAAGCACGCAAAAATTGCACGGTATAGAACTAAGAAATTTTCATCTCTTTTAAAAATGTTTTAGCCGTACATTATTAGCTAAAAGTATCAGGCAAAAAATCAATAAGCTCTATACTCTATAATATACTGGAAACGCGCTTTCCCTACATTAAAAATTATAAAAAACAACGATTCAACAGAGAAGAGAGAAGCAAACAAATACTTTCTAGCTCTTTCCTGCAAAAACATTAGCGAGCCTGACAAAAAAGACAGCATAATTTTTACATCAAAGTGTTATTGTGTAAAAATTGAAATACCCTTTCCTTGAGAGATAACGCGCAAATATATATTATAAAGCTTACTGAAAAAAAATGAATTAAAAAAGCCGATATCAGCCTTATATCAATCAAAAAATTTTAGTCATAAATATGTTCTGAAACCAATTACAAAAACCAAACAACAAATAATTTGATTTATAACGACTTACAAAGCGCAATGTAATCATAATTTTCTACATATTTATATAAATAATTTTTAAACAAGTAGGTTAAGATTGCCCAAGAGTACACAACGCTTAAGAATACGCATTGAGCTTTACGGCGCAATTATTAGATCGTAGTAGCTGTAACTCATACAAAAACATGCCTCTTTGGTTAATCAATCTGTATATAAAAAATACTTCTTTAAATATATCTCTAGATTTCTTTACGAGAAAGCGTCGTAACAATTTTTTTAAAAAACATTTATTAAAGCTTAAAAAGTATATTTTAAAATGCTGCTCGGTTAAATTTTGTTCGATGTTTCATCCAGAAAGAGCACTTAAAAAAATCACAAAAATGTCAATTTTATATAATAAAAAAATGTCAATTTTATATAATTTAGGAGGAAAATATATCATAGAGACAAAATTCAAATGCTCGATTTTGAAACTGTATATTCTTCCTCTTTAAAATATATTTTTTTAAATTTGTCTATAATTTCACCGAAATATTGTACTTACGTTTTTGTGAAATGCGAAAAAATTGCAAACGGTTTATGAACGAAACATTACAAAAAGTAAATAAAACTAAAAAAAAGTCACAAGTAATCAAAAGACTGTTTATGATAAAATTGAGCATATAAAAATATAAATATGTTCAAGTCTTCTGGCAAACAATCTAATTACTCGATTATGTTAGTTTTATTTTCTTTTCATAAACAGCGTAAGTTTTTTTATCAAAATATATTAAAGAGAGCATATGAAATCAATAGCAAGATATTATGACAGTATTTTGCTGTTTATCGATATCACATTTGATCAATATAGTCAATAATAATTAGATTAGAGCGTGCATACACG